ACAGGGGGAGCAGTAGAGTAGAAGGGGTTGGATGATGCTTTTGTAGAGTAGCAGAAGAAGATGGGGGGCAACATACAGTGATCTTAGTTTGCGTATTGCATACAGTCTCTGTTGTGCACGTTTCTGTGTAATGGTGACATGTTCATTGAAGTTAAGCTTATTGTCAATGGTGAGACCAAGATATTTAAAAGTGCTGACCTGTGCCACTGGTTGGCCATGTATAGTGATGTGAGTGAGTCCAGGGGGTGATTTTGATGCATGAATAACCAGTCCTTTTGTCTTGTCAATGTTGAGTTGGAGGTAGTTATCAGAGCACCACAGTGCAAAATCTGTGATGGACTGGTGGTAGGCTGTGATGGAACTGTTGTCTGTAAGTAGTCCTACTATGGCTGTGTCATCTGCATATTTGTAGTAAGTGGTGTTGGGTAGTGAACTCTGGCAGTCATTTGTGTAAAGTGTGTACAGGAAGGTACTGAGTACGCAACCTTGGGGGGTTCCAGTGTTGGTGATAATGGTTGATGATGTTGTAGTCCCTATTTTCACTGTCTGTGGCCTGTTGCTGAGAAAGTTGTATATCCAGTGGATGAGGAGAGGGGTGACATTCAGGTGCTGTAGTTTCTTGATGAGTTGATGGCGCTGGATTGTATTGAATGCGGAGCTGAAGTCAACAAACAGAACAGTTGAGATATAGGAAGTACGACTTGGTCGTCAGGTTCGTCAGTAAGGAGAGGAATGTTACCTTCTGGGGACCTTCTCCAGTGCTACTGCAGTCTGAGACCTCCCCTGAGTACTTCAGGTAGTTGAGTTAAAAGTCTGTTTAAAGAAACAGTTCTCCTATTTGATTGCTCTATCTAGAAGGTGGGGGACCTGCACACATTTTCGGTCAACGAATCGGGCCTGCTAACTCTTACTAATTGAGATCCCGGCCTGGATATGTGCCCAAGGTTCCTACCTCTCCCTTAAACGGGACCAGGTGGTGAGCCTGCAAGCGCTGCCCAGGAGGAGGCAGACCCAGCCCTGACTTTTCTTTGCTCCTCCCGCACTGCGGTTATAGGACAGTTTGCAAAGTCTCAGGACCTCTCCAGCTCTTATCTGTCCCGGAAACCAGCAGAAAGGAAGGCCGGTTTCCATGCAGAGGTTGGCCCACTAAGATTAGTGAGGCCATCATCTTGGTGAAATCCCAAGGTGCACCGTGCCCACCTGGGTAAGGAGCTCCTCCACAAGGGGAGTGTAGCTCCTTCCTGGGCATTGACATGAGTGCCTCACTGACAGATTAAGAGTTGTGGGCTGGGCAACACCGAACATTCGCTAGATATTAGCCTATGAGTCTAGGCCGTTTGCTTAGTGGGCTCCCTTCACTGGAGGCCAGCTTCACCTTAGCCCGGTTTATAGTGTCGGCTTGCTGCGCCATTCTCCTCTTATGGACTGGATAAGTGCACTTTTTGCTCCAGTGAGTTCCACTTCCGAACGCTGTAGAGTTCCTCCTCGCCCCCTTTGGTGTTGGACGTGGCGGAGCGTCTGATACTAGTCCTATCACTTGTATGCTTGTGTAACTTGTGTTAGGTGGGGCCCATATGTTGTGATCCCTACGGTGATCTAGTATGTGTATTCTTACACTGTGTGCTCCCTGCGGGGAGCCCGTGTCTTCCTTGGCAGAGCTTTCTCTGCCGTCACTGACCTGTTGTGTCTCCCCCCTGTTATTGGCTGGAGCCATATCAGTGACATGTCATATGTTTACTGCCCGCTAAGCTCAGTCCATATGTTGTTCTCCACATGTTACCTCCTTCGGGCAGGATGTGGCTTCCGCAGCGTAGACCTTCCAACGAAGGTACGCTTCCCAGTGGTGCGTAAAAACAACTGTTGCGTGCATGCACTAATTGTAATTGTACCCGCGCTGCGGGGCGGAGCGTGTGATGCAATTCACTCAGGCCATGTCCATTGGCTAGTTTGTATACTATTCGAAGATGACTGGCTCCCTGGCGTGATCCCAATCAGTCGACACGTCAACTACGTCTCTGTTCCCTCCTTCAGGGAACGAGGGTGTGGCGAGCAGGACGAGGCCGAGTGACGTGAGAGAGCGGCGCGAGGCCGGTGGCGTGAGTGATAATGAACGACACCTGTGAGACGCACCGGTCTCGCATCTCTCACGGAGGAGCGGAAGCATAAAGGAGGAGCGACGACAGTGAAGTAAACCGTAATGTTTTTATTACCTTAAAATGAGACATTTATATCTACATAGGTGCGGGCACCCCCTTCTATGAAGGTCGCCATATTGTGTCGTCATGTTTCTACCGTAGCCGACAGCGAACACACAGCGCTACAGAGCGCGTTTCGTCACTACCTTGAAAGAGAAGCAGCAGAAAGCTAGAAGCTAGCCATAGACACCATGAGTAGTGACTTTTCCCTTGTCAGTGGTGTAAATATGTAGTTGGATTGTTTCATGTAACTTAGTTCTTCTCCCTCGCTGTGTTATGGCTTTGCTATGTGGGGATAAATGTGCTGGTTACGTTCGGGAGACAGCTGATTAGTACTTGACCGTAAAACAGTATGTTACAGGAATCGCCAACCCGTCGATCGCGGTCGACAAGCCGATCTTGGAAGCATTTTAAGTCGATCGCGAAGAGTTTTCAAAATCAGAGAAAAAAAGCCTATTGTGTGTAGTAAATGGTGTCTAGGGGATGCGGAGTTGCGCGCGCTGTTACAATCATGTCATTTTTGCCGCTCATGCGGACGCGTCGAGATTAAACAAGGCTTTACGCTTTAACCAGCTCAGCCACAGTAACAGCTCATATTAGCCAGCTAAACCTTTACTACCCTGTTAGAAACAATATATAGTTGGATAGTTTCATGTGGTTCTTATCCCTCGCTGTATTATGGGTTTGCTATGTGGGGAGAAATGTGCTGGTTACGTTCGTGAGTAATCAGCTGATTACTATTATTATATTATATATTAAGACCCTTGATCCTCACCTGACTATGGCTTTGTAAACTTTATCCATGATGTGGTTTATAATGGACTGTGGTACAGAAACTTGGCTTACTCTGGCTATTCTCTGCTGTCTCAGACGACGATATGTTTGTCCCGTTTTAGCCACCGTAGCTTCTTCGAAAGGGAGGGGTGAGCAATGGGCTGAGCCCTTAGTGCAAACTCGCAACCGAACCGCTAGATGCCGCTAAAAATCACACACTGCACCTTTAAACGATATAATTACAACTAAATTACCAAAAACTGCCCAACTATCCTGAATGGTGCAAACGTCAGCAATACAACATTGACAACTGAAGTAGACTTTATTTCTTTTAAGTGTTACATTACAGTACACAGCAACACAAATCACTAAAGAACATTGTGTTTCTGATTTAAGGCAAGAAAACAGAAGATATCATGTATATGCGTTAGTTTAGTAGACATGTAAGGCAGTAAATAGTAAACATCATACTTAAAAAAAAACAATATGATTTTTCTGCTTGATATTTAAGACCATAAAAATATAACAGCACAGAAATGGTTTATCTTTGGAGCATGAAAGTTCGTTTGTGTCTTTATATGGTTCTTCGTGAGGCTGAGCTGAGTTTGCTTTTACTGTACAATCCATTTGGTGCAAAAAGTAAATTTCAATCAAACCCAGAAATCTCAGGATACAAATGCTTTAGAAATCTAACAGTCTATGTGTTTTTTTTTTTTGTTTTGTTTTTTAATGATTCTGTATAAAAGCTAAAACATTACTGGACTTATCATGGAATTTGTGGTTTTCAAGTCTGTTACACTCTATGAACAAAATGTGACTAATGTTCCACAAAGTTAATGCTTGCTCAATGCACAGATAACGAATATCCTATCAAGCACCATTAATTATGAAAAGCGTCAAATGTACAAAAGACTTAACGGCATTAGAAAAATACCATCATACAGTGAATGTGAAAACATGAAATATCAAGGTACATTAGATTAAAAGAATTAAAGGCTCACATACAGAAGAATCACTAAAGGCCGTCCACTTAAAAGAAGCTTGAACGTTTCAAAATTCCAAAAACTAATATAAATTATTTAAATTTAAACTTATAAGGATCAGACTAGGATCTAATTGCATCGTGACCTCTGATTACATTTTGACTACAATTTGTTCTAATAATTGAAATGTTCATTAAATGAATCAAGTTCCTATAGGTCCTTGTCTAAAGATCCTTACGATTTCTCCCATATTTAGGCTTTGTTATAAATTAAGGATGGGAGATATTTTCAATCACATAAAACTGCAAACAAAACAACCGGAACCTTAAGGGTTGAAATAAACCATATTAAATATCACGTTTCAATAAAAACATCTAGCAGCCCTTTTTATGGTCAAAATGGTAAATTAATTCAGTTGAGGTTTTTAATCCCTATGAGCATTTTATCAATGTATAAAAACAGTTCAATTTGTTTTAATGTGATGGTTTGTATAGATTATTCATAGGCTAGAAACATACTCGGGTATGTAAACGTGAATGCTTGGCCAACGCATTGCAAGCGTTTGGTTTCGTACCGTACATACTGTAACATTTAATCTTGCTATCAATTTATGGTAATAAAAAGCCTATAGGACTCAAAGGGGTGATCGAGTCACAATGTTTGTTTTTATTTGATCAGGGCTCCTCGAACATTACAGGCAGGTAAACTGCTTTACGCTGAGAACCGGCTGCATTATGAACTCTCTCTGACGCAATGATGCATGAACTCAAACTCACGTATCCAGAAATGTTTTTGTTCACATACTTGCGTAGAATATGTTTCAGGCCTTAGCACTTTCCTAGCCAACAGGGAACATTCTCAGAACTTTGTCTAATGTTGGGGCAAGGTTCTTTCAAAGTTATGAACAAACGTTCTTCCAGTAACGTTAATAGAACGTTCGTTCAAAGTTATCTGGGTTTTAATAACGTTCTTAAAACATTTGCACAAAAATGTTTTAGTTTGACATTCGTCTAACGTTTTTGAAATGTTACTTGTTTCAGAACGTTCAGAGAACATTCAAAAGTAACGTTGCCATAATGTTTGCAGAATGATACAATGGAATGTTTCCTTAACATTCACATAACCAAGAAAGACGTTTTTGAAACATAAAAAAAAACTGTACGTTTCGAATGTTGAGAGAACATACCGAAATAACGTTTTCATAGCCTAATGGGAACGTTAGCAAAACGTTCTTAGAACATATTTTGTTAGCTGGATTTTTGTCATTTGTAAAGTTCTTGGTGGCTGTGGCACATCTTTTGAAAGAGAACAACTGAGGGAAATGAATATGATCAAAATAAGCGTTGAGCACATACATCAGTGTGAAGAAGTGTACAATATGAAGGCAAAGGCAGTGTGCACTGGCGAGAGGCTTTACTTTAGACCCAGCGGCACGTCTTCGTCAGAGGAATGTAAGGACAGAAACTCTGCTGACGTCAGTAGGTTTGGCAGGGTGTGTGCGATATGGAGCGCGAGCGCGCTAGAGGACCGTGACGCATCTCCTTACTCGTCACGCTGTCCTCGGTCCGTGTCTTTCCCTGCTCCTCTTTCATGAACAGATCCATCATGAGGATCTTCTCCTTATGGATCTGTAAACTGATGTCTTTGGGGATATCTGGGATTATCCAGTCCACAACATCACTCATCAACATCACCACATTCTGCACAAATAAATCACCAGAGCTTAGCATGATTTTAACTGATGTTCTGTACACACTTGATTTCTGAGCGACTAATCACATTTTTTTTTCTTTGGGAATAATTTAAGGTAGCACTGCCCTTATACTGTGAGTCTCGCACAGATGAGCCTTTAGATATTAGACACTCACCTGAAAGACAATGACAAATGCTAGTCTGGCGGCCAACACAGCCCAGAACTCCTTCGAGATCTCGTATGGCGTCGGAGACCACGGAGGCTCTCTGTAGTCTTTATACCTGGAGGAGAATGGCATTAAACATGTCTGTAGAGTGGTAATGGAGCTGTTGTGATTGTATGCGCTTCATACCTGCAGATGTCCACACGGAAGCCCAGGTGGAACGGCTCCACTGGCGCAGTGCCGTTCTGGAAGTGACTGACATTAAAGTAAGACAATGTGTGGTTGACAAAGCCGTGCATCGAGCCGTCCTGGCTGTACATGTACTGATAGACCAGCCTGGGAATGAAGTCTGAAGTGAAGGAGATCACAAATGCCTGGAGGAAAGATGACAGTTATAAGAAGATTTCGACATGTTATTGTACAAAGGTGGCATATTAATGGAAGCAGAAAAAGTGAAAAAAGAAAATTAGAAAAATACTAAGTATGAACTAATGAATCATGATTAGTGTGTATAATCTTTAGCTTTTAGAGTTTTACTACTTCTGAACAGTTTTACAACCTTAACTTGACTCGTGGTCATTTTTGACTTTAAGTGAAGCTTGCCAAAGACAGGAACAGTGCAAACATAAACTGTTGTAATGTGACTTTTAGAGTATTTGTGGAGTAACTTTAGTTTATACTGTTCTGCCTCCACTTTCTAGTTTTAGCCAGTTAATAAGTTAAAGTGAAATATGGAAGAAAAAAAAATTGGTTGCACAATCATTACTTACAGTACAATTGCATCTCTCAAGGTATATCTCTGGATCCTAGTGCTACAATTTTAGTTTTCAATGGCATTAACTCAGTGATGGGTTGAGGCGCTACAGTATAGTTAATTCAATATTATGGTTAAAATCACTGGTCATCTCAGTGGGAATCCAAACTGTAAACTGCAGTGGTCTCAAACTCAGTTCCTGGAGGGCCACTGTCCTGCAGAGTTTAGCTTTTACCAGGTCTCGGCGAGAAGGACTGCCGATTGCCTGGGGCCAGCGTAAACGTCACTCAGGACAGTTGATCCAACTATGAAAGAGAGCGCAAAGAGAGCGCAATTCAATACTGAGAGAATTTTTGCTCCCCTTTCCTTCCAAGCATCTCAGTGCCTTCTCAGGGAATCACAAGCACAGCTATGACATTAGCAGCTGAGAACCTAGTCCACATCACAAAACCTTTCAAATGTGAGTGGAGAGGATCAGCCCGTCACATCACACAAATCTTGAAGGGATACTCCTGACAATAAGGCTTTAGAAGCTTCCATAATCCTTGTTGAATGAGCTCTAACAGTCATAGATGAAGCTTGTTCAGAAGCCTCGTTAGCAAGTGAAATAGACTCGACTATCCACTTGCTCAGTGTCTGCTTGGTCATGGGATCTCTTTCATGGGCGAACCAAAGAAGAAATAACTGGCCTGACTTTCTCCACCAGGCAGCTCTGTGGACATTAGTGTCAAGTGCTCTAAATGATGTTTTATTAACAAAGTTCGAGAGAAGCACGTTCAGATAATTAACACGGGTGGAGAGCACTCAGCAATCATGATTAAAACGCGTATATATAGACTCAGCAGTCTCACCTCATTTCTCTGACAGTTTAGCAGCGTCCCTCCACCACCCCTTCTCCACTCTTCTAGTCCTAAACCACTTTACATACAGGGGGAGTACTCTGGGTTCGAGCTCGGAGCCCTCCTCCCGGACAGCACGCCAAATATGCATTATACTTTATTCCCTTTAATTGTATGTAAGTGTGAACTCGTAAACTGGACACACTAAATGTAGCTTCTCCTGGTTTGAACTTGAAAAGGGGGAGGCAGAAAGCCTGCAGAACTATAGGAAGTAGCACATTAGTCTGTACCTTGGGCACATAGCACAGTCTCGGGTGTAAGAATGCCTTCACCATTCCTGGTGCAAACTCTAGGCATGACGGTGCAACTGAAAGGGCCTGGAGGTATCCTACTCTTTTCAGAAAAGTAATGGCTAAGACAAAGACAATTTTTAGAGTCAGAAACTTGACTGGAACCATCTTCAAGGGTGCAAAGGAAGCCAAAAGAGACTTTTCAATACAATGGCCAGATCCCAGGCCGGTGCCCTCGTGCAGACTGCAGGCCTCAGCCTCAAGACACCCCAGAGGAGGCGTGTCACCAGCGGATTCCTCCCCAAAGACTCATCATCCAAAGGAAGGTGGTAAGCAGCTATGGCCTCCATGTAGACCTTTAAGGTGGACGGGGATAACCCCGTTCCTGCAGGAACTCTACCACTGTACCAACTGGGCACCAATCGTCCAGCTGATGATTCTTGCACCATGAAGCGAACACTCCACTACAGCGCATAAAGCTTCCTCATGGAGGGAGCTCTGGAGTGAAGAATCAGTTGAGTGACCTGAGTCTATGCGCTGGGCCCCTCAGAGGCCAAACACACTGCTTCCAGCTATGGAGGGGTTGAAGGATTAAACCTAAATATATTTATTAAATATTATCCACATTATATTTCATCTAAAACAGCATTGTGAACTTTTATAACAATGCGTTTGGTCATTAACTTTTAAATGCATCATTACGCAAACATGAGGAGAGTTCTCCGAATGAAAGACCCATGACTGGCAGATCAACGTGCGACTACATTTCTCTCCAAAATGGTAGGAAATTAATTTTAATTGAATGTGGAGGATTTTAACTGTGACAAGATGATTGACAGGGTAGTTTAAACTAGTGTTGCTTTCGTCAACGAAAATTATGACTAAATATCGTCGTCAACGAACCTTTATCACGTGACGAAAACGAGACGAGACGCAACGTAAATGCTGGTCATGTGACGATGACTATAACTAAATGTATAATGCAATATCGTTGACGAATAAAAACGAGACTAAATGTGGTTTACAAAATAAAAAGTATGCTAAAATGTCTCTTCATTTTCGTTGACCAAAACGAGACGAGACGAAATGTTATTTAACGTTATTTCGTCTCGTTTACTTGCATTATTATGCAGCATTTCTGTTTCGTGTTCAGGGGCTGGATCAGATCGCACTGCGCAGACGCAGGCGACTTCACATCCTCAGTCAAGCCCCACTCGCGGCATTATTTAGAAGATCCAGCTGCGTGAGTTATGGCTGTTTCACACATACTCCGTGTGTAGTGCGTATGCGGTGCGTGTTGCGGTGTGTATGCAGGAGCAGCACGAGCTATTTTGCTTTCACATGTGCTCCGTTTGCAGTGCGCAACTGATCTACGGCTGTACCACAATCACAACATTTATTCTCTATTTTTTATTTCAAATCAATATTTTTAGCCTACATCCATTATGTCGCGTTGTTGAGGTACTGTGTAGATCTCTGCTCTGCTGTTATGCACGCATGCATTGACGGACCGCATCCGCGTGCGTGTGAGCGCTCTAACCATAGGCTCTACATGGGTGCGGGAAAAAAAAATTCGGAGTAGCCTATGTGTGAAACAGGCATTAGCATGAACGACAACAAACAAAGTTAAGTCTGACACAGAGAAAGGGATTCGTCTTTGGGAGAAAAAGAAGAAATGACATTAGGAAAAACTTTCATTTCATCATGTGTGTAGGCTACTTCTAACATGTTTGGTTGGTAAAATAAATATGTTGTAAATTCAAATCAGAGCATTTTTCGTGTCTGGAATGGATGTATTCTTGAGTCTATAAGGTAACAATAATATAATAAGATAACAGAAGATAAGATTGTTTGAAATGGGTTTGGCTAAAAGAAAATTTTGGTTTTATCTATACTATAGGTATAGGCTACTATATTGACTGGGTTAAATAGAATACTAAAAAGAGACTAAAATACAATTTTCATTGACTAAAACTAGACTATGTCTTTCGTCGACTAAAACTAGACTAAAATGTCATCAGTTTTCGTCGACTAAAACTAGACTAGACTAAAAAGAGTATGAATGTGACTAAAACTAATAAAAACTAAAATGACAGCTTGACACAAAGACTAGACTAAAACTAAAATTAAAACAGGCCGCCAAAAACAACACTAGTTTAAACAGTGACAGGTTTGCATGTAACTGTCATGAAGAGGTTGAAGCAAGGAGGAAGCAGGATCCAAATGCAGCACGTTTACCGTAATTCCTCAAATAAAAGCCGGGGCCTTTATTTACCTGAACTGCAGAAAGTAACCGGCTTTTACTGTATTTGAAGCAGGCTTTTATTAGAGGCAGGCCTTTATTTCTAATTCCATCTTTTTGATAAATAATAGGATTGGGCCGATAGACGATGCAGTCTTTCGTGATGGCTGACAGACATCACACTATGTTGAGACGGCAGCGCGATCCCCCCACTCGCCCTGTTTCCATAGTGACGGGTCATGCTTGGCACGCGCGTGATTCACCACAGCCAAAATAGCGCTGTATGCCAGATGTAGCGTTAGCACTTTTATTTCTAAATTTTAACAAACTTGCTTACCATGTCATCAACTATCTTCTATTCTGATTCTCAAATACATGTAAGAGAGTTTGTTTTGTCGTTTAAAAACCTTTAACGTTATAATTGATCTGTAACGTGAGATGTTTGTTTGGGCGCAGTTCAGAGATTCCTGTCTGTTGGATTTATTAACGTTACAGCACGTGATTTCATCAGTTTCTTCCGAAATACATGAAAGTAAGTGGCCGGTGAACTGGGAGAAGAACAGAGTAAACTTAGTTACTTACACAGTGTATCTGATATGAATAAAACACCTCGCCAAATATATTTGAATGAATTGTTATTGCTGCTTCCATAGACACCATTGTATATTTTACAAACTACAAATGTATTGTTTTTCTATAAATTATATGTATTTAAATGTCTGAAACCTAAAATAAACATGATGTGGTTAAAAGCACTGAATAGCTGTGATATACGGTATGACAAGCGCTGAAAGTCTTTAGCTCAGCGCCAGCCATAGCGCGAAAGCACAGTTTGAATCTGGCAGTGATGTCGCGTCACTGTACATTCGCTCCTCAGTGGTCAGCTGCTGCAGAGTGGGCCGACATCGATGATGAGACGTAGAGGATAATATCTTGTGGAAAACTAGTATGTTTATGTTATGTCATTATATGAAAGGCTCAGGAGATTACCTATCATCAACACTAAATTTCCCCCGGCCTTAATTTGAAGCTGGCCTTTATTTGTATGTGTTGACCCCGCCCCCGGCCACTATCAGAGGCCCGGCTTTTAATTGAATACCAGTTTTTATTTGAGGAATTACGGTATTTAAATACACTCAAACTAAACAAAGTCTCAGGCAAGGGAACAAGACTCGGGAACAGAACAACCTACAACGACACACAATCAAACAAGAACTCACAAAGACAGGGCTGAAACACAGGGCTTAAATACAGGGGTAAACGATCTAGATAGGATAACAAGGGGACGTGGTTAACGGGAAACACCTGGGAAGACTAATAGACAGACAGGGAACCACTAAACATGACAAGACAAACCCACACCGTGACAGTAACTAAGCGACAAAGCATCCTTTTAAGACTCACTTATGACCAAGTAGTATGTCCCAAAGCTTGCATACTCTTCACACTTTTTCTTCTCCAAAACAGTATATACATTTAGTGAATAGTATAAGTTTGGGAGGAAACAGCTAATATTGTTTGGTCCCGGCACTCTTTATAGCTTCCTGGTTATGATGACATCCAACCATTCCATTGAACTGATTTCACACGTACTTCAGGAGCAATCGCAGAAGAGACGCTCCCACAGCGAGGCTACAGTGACGCAGCGAGGGTTTCCTCGAAAGGGAACTTCCACACAGATGAGCTGAGTCTCCAGAAGTGAAGTTTGAGACCACTGCTGTAAAGAGTTCTTTAGTCTGTGAATACTGTTACCCTATTTGGATTGTACTTGTTTCACATGGGGACATAAGGTGATTTCAACATTTACAGGGGTCAGTCAGTGATTTTATTGCTTTCCTAAACCAGAATGTTAGTGTTTTTTTCTCCAGCCACCCTAGTAAAAATTCCTGGTGGAATTACAGTCGAACACCAAGGTCGTCAGGAGATTTAACTGCCGTCCAAATCCACATCTCTGAGATTATAAGAGAGGATCAATCCTGAAGTCATTTTGTAAATCTTTCTGACCGCTGGCGAGCATCGTGCGATAACTGTTGCTCTTTGTGGTGATGTGCACACATTTTAAAGACAGAGACGTATTACTGAAATGCTGGAAACCGTTTAAAAGAATAATATTATGTCACTGATCCACTACAGTGAGCGGGAGCTGTTAAGAACAAAAAGAACAAAAGCGCACACACTTTTGAAACTATTTCTACTAATTTCCACGTTTTTTTAAAGGACATCCATCGGTTTGAGAGATAAAATGCTATACAGAAAACCATTTAAACTGTAGCATGTCAACTTTCCTATTTTTAAACAGGGTATTTAAATTAAAAAAAATAATACAGAGGATATTATTTTACTATTGTTAAAATAAATATGAATTTATAATTTTCCAAGCAATAACAGTCATTTAGTATATGTGAGCAGCGCGTCCCCTCGTTCATAGGATCCCAGAACTCAGGTGCATGCGGATTTATATTTTACAGACGTCTCCATGAGAAACAGTTGTCATCCGAATAGGTCTTATTGACTGAGAAATTTTCAAGTTGACATGCAAATTTGACTAGTGCCAGGACAATAGAAGTAATTCAAGTGTCGTCTACTCAAACCCCTCTTCATAATGCCACTGTTCCAGAATATAAAGTGCTGCATGCAAAGGTGGAGTTTCGGCGTTCACAGGTAAATGTGATCCGCTAGCATTAGAAGGACCAAATAACACAGACACACTTACATTGACAATAACTGCCACTTTTGCGACTCCTCTGAGAATATTATACCAGATTCCTGTAAAGACATCATGTACAACACCATCAGTGTATCAGGACTTTGAGGTGAACCTCTTATAACACACCCAATGGAGCTATTGATATTATGTAAAGATCTGCAGGAATATTCCAGCTCAATAATATAATCTATAAATAGTCCATTCTTTTTCTCAAACTGGAGGACAAGTTCAAATGTTTTAAGATAGTGGACAGAGATGCCATGGATGCTTATCACAGAGCTTAAACTGATAATATAAGATTTATTATATGATTGTGAGAAGTGTAAGTGTACAGACCGATGTCTTTGCCTCTGGCTGCATCTGGTCTTCTGAGTTCTGCCACAAACTTCTTGGCATCCAGACGTATTTCAATGATGTTGTTGAGGAGGGCAAACAGAGGCGCCAGCGGGAAAGATGCCACAAACAGAGTCACAAAGCCAAACTGGATTACTGCAGGAATGGAACAGTAATAATTACTGCAGTAATATTAGAAACAAGCCATCTTCATACAGCCGAAGCTTTATTACAGGCTCATTACAGCTCACGAGCCAGTGGTCTGGTCTTAGTTTGACCAGTGTTAGTTCTTAATAGGAATTGAAAAAAGAACTGCACCGTTTTGTTCCAATGAAATACACATGAAAAAAGAGACGTGATGACGAGTTTGTCTGGTCGGATGATTTGGTTTGTGAGCGTGTAATGCTGCGTTCACACTGCAGGGGCTTAATGCTCAATTCCGATTTTTTGAAATATTCGATTTTTTCGCAAGGCAGTTCACATTTCCAATTAAACGCGACCTTTTGTGATCTCCTGTGTGAACGTGAACGTGACCCAGAAGTGACCCGCATGCGCAGAAGACTACTCAACGGTCAATTCCTGCCTACTTCAACGCAGAATTATGACGTTTGTCGCATATCAATGACGTGCGGGTCGGATACATGTGACCTGGCCGTTCAGATTGAAGTCGCATTTCAAAAGATCAGATACATATCGGATTTGGACCACATACCCAAGTGGCCTGGGTCGCATTTGAAAAGATCGGATCTGTGTCGTTCAGACTGTCATGAAAAGATCAGATACAGGTCACATAGGGGCAAAAAAATCGGAATTGGGTCGTTTCAGCCTGCAGTGTGAACTAAGACACTCACTCATCTCCATGTACTCGGGCGTGAGGCCAGCGAAGGGCTCCAGGAAATGATCCGTCTCATAACGCTGTAACTTCTTCTCATATTCCTCTTCCTGGAAAGAGCGTCTCTTGGATTTAATGTATCTGATCAGCTTCTTCAGTTTACTGCAATAAAGCAAATACAACCCAAACCATGGCAATGCAAACTGTTCAGCATGTCCATAAAGCCTGTCATGTTGAAGCGTGTGTGCTCGCTGTACTCACGGGACGCCGATCTCAAACAGGTTGTTCTGGATGAGCTGTTTCCCGAGCATTGTGATGCTGAGCTGAATGCAGAGCTCCATGAGGCATCCGCCGTGAGCGCACTGATCAAACACATCGAAACAGCCGTCATTCACCCGCTGCACTCAACCACACAACGCGTGTGTTCATGACTCATACCTCCTCCATGCGATAGGACTCGAACACGTAGAGATAACTGCCTGGACGCCCACCGAGCCTGTGCGGAAACACAGCTATCAGAGTCTGGCTTCAGCATCAACACATTCATATGCGGCACAAGTCTTTAATAAACCATAAATCAGCAGACAAAAGCACATGCAGCTCATCATTTCAGAAAGACAGCTGAGATAAAACTGCTCTGGAAATGATGGAGGCTTGTTTCCGCAACAGATTAAAAAAATAAATAAGGTAATTGCGACTTTTTATCTCACAATTTATTTCTCACAAGACTGACTTTTTTCTTGCAATTACGAGATTATATATTAAATTTCTTTCAATTCTGACTCTATATCTCACAATTCTGCCATTTTTCCCACAATTCCAAGTTTATATCTCTCAATTCTGACTTTTTATTCTTTATATACAAGTCAGAATTGTGAGATAAAAAGTTGAAATTTGATTTTGATTTTGTGGCTGAAACAAGCACCCATAAAGGATATTGAATACCCACCTGCCTCTGAAAAATGCGATGTATATGATGGGAGTGAACGCATTCACAAACTTCAGGATGAAGGTTTTGAAGATCAACCTTTCTTCAAAGCTCTTGTCTGTTTTAGGAACCTCTGGGAAGACCAACACAAGACAAATGATTGAAGTAACCCTTGTGTTTTATGTTTCACACATGAGCAACAGAAGTCAGATGTCACAGATCAGCAGCACTCGTTGGCATTAAGCAGTGCTAGACGAAGCGACCGACCGAGGACAGTGAGCCAGCGCGCCACGGCCCCGTACACTTCATCCAGGATGAGGATCACCACCAGGTTGATGATGGCCGCGGTGGTTTTAACCGTCAGCCTGACGTTGGAGCGGGTCATGGGGTTCGAGCTCATGGCGAGAGCGGCCTTGGTGGAGATCCGGTATAAAATCACACCAAACACAATAGCAAACGTCACACCGATCTGTAAAACAGTGAGGATGCACTTCATTCAGCGTGTTCTCAAGCACATACATGTGTTTTATTTTAAATGAAGACAGCTCTTATGAGTACACAACTGAAAGCACAACCAGATGAACACCAGCATTAAAAACAAGATAAAATACTATGCTCTCAAATGAAGCCATGATATGACGATGAAAGTAAGATTAAGTACTTGTTAAATGTACTTACTATAGCAATTACAGTAAAGTATGCACAATTACATGCAACTAACCCTAAACCAAACCCTAATCCTAACCCTGTAGTAAGTCCTTGTTGTTAATTAATATTACTCAGTACTTCAATTGTACTAAATGAACACTGTAACGAGGACACCTTAAAATAAACAGTATATTAAATTAATAATTGAAGTGTTGTTTATTTACAAATGATTGCTTTGCTTCTCACAAATATTAACGAAAAACAATAAAAAAGTTCCTATGAATCTTTCAGTGCATAATCATAATTATTTTAGTTTAATTTTTAGCCATTTTGTTGTGTACTTTTGTAATTTTATTTGAATTATTTTGTTTTAGCCAAGACTCTTGTGTAGCTGCCCATCAGATTGAGAAGCTGGAGGCGTTTTGGCCCAGTCCTCGACTCCTCGCTATACTGAAATATTTCTGTTCATGTGTATTTTTGGGATGTCTCAAAAGCTTCAGTGTTTGACCGTAAGGTCGTGATTCTGGGCCAGTGTTTTGCTTTTATTGCCATTTGTTGCAAGTTTGAGATAACAGCAGAAGCCTGGATATTCTGCTGGAGAATGTATGACTGCATGATGGGGATCAAAACAGCAAAGCCTGCCCTCTTCAACAGCCGAAACTAACTGTGTGACACATTTGAGGATAAGAAAACAACTGTTCATTTTGTAGAGGTTCATATCAGCAATAATGATCAAAGACTTTCAATAGACAGCTGGAACCTCATTTAAAGCAAACTAGCTGGAAGACTATCTGGAATCTGGATCACATCAGAGACATTGATGGCTGTAAGACTTGGGAATAAACCACAAACAATATAGGGAAAAAATTAAGATTCAGATTTCAGTGGGCAACAAATATTGACCGACACTACCATTCCAATGTTTGGGTTTTTAAATGTTTTTCAAAAAGTCTATATTTATTTTATCAAAAATACTCTCACAACTCACAACTTAGTACTGTGGTACATTTTCAATACTGAAATATTAAAAATGTAGCAATACTAGTAGAACCAAGAACGTACTCGGTTACTAACGTAACCTCGGTTCTCTCTAGAGAGGGAACGAGTACTGCGTAATAGCTTTACGCTAGGGGAAAAACTCTTTTCCGCGAGATATTGAAGCCAAAAATTATCCTTTAATTTTTTATTAATGCAAAACGCTTTGCAGCAGCAAGCAAACATAGGCGAAACAGCTCGCGCGCCTATTGGTTGCTCTGCAGCAAATGCAGCAGCCTATCGAGAGAGACTCTGCGTGACGTAATGACCAATGGGGGCAATTCGCGCCCATATCGTCACGTCCCGCCAGAAGGGGCGTGGTCTCGCCCTATAAATATGCTCGTTAGGCTGATACAAGCTGGTTTTTATCGCTGAAGCGAACCAGAGCGTATTCCACGCACGGCAAGATACGCAGTACTCGTTCCCTCTCTAGAGAGAACCGAGGTTACGTTAGTAACCGAGTACGTTCTCTTACGAGAGTATCTCTCGTACTGCGTAATAGCTTTACGCTAGGGGAACACAATGCAACACGCCGTGCGTAAAGGGATCCAACACCAAAGTCCCATGGGCCGAAGCCCAGGGCTCATGTAGTGCATAATCACCATAAACTCACATAGAGTAAAGGAAGAGAGGCTGGAAGCGTCATTCCCTATACAAAAGCACCCAGCGGGGCTATTATATGACCATCAAACGCGCAGCCAGGGTGAAAGCATTCAGCCTGATCTGGGCGGCCATACGTGAGTCAACACTCATGGGGCTGCAGTAAACTCAGCATCTGGGCCGCAGAGCGGGGCAGATAGCACTGAATTTAGACCGCCAAAAGCTTAGCTTGTAAGGCGGGTACCTCCAGGTTATAGTATTTTATAAATGTAGACGGCGAGGCCCAGCCCGCGGCCGTACAGATATCTTGCAGGGAAACCCCGCTAGACCATGCCCACGAAGAGGCCACGCCTCTCGTGGAATGCGCCCTGACACCCAAGGGGCACTGTAAGCCCTTCGCAGAGTAAGCGAGCGCGATGGCATCCACTATCCATCTGGATAGGCTCTGTTTTGAGGCGGCGAGTCCCTTGGAACGCCCGCCGAACAAAACAAAAAGCTGCTCCGTCTGTCTGAAAACAGACGAGCGTGCCACATAAGCTCTCAATGCCCTGACGGGGCAGAGAAGACTTGCATCCTCCTCCTCACTGAGAACCGGAAGGGCAGACAGGGAAATGACCTGGGCCCTGAACGGCGTGTTGAGGGATTTCGGGACATACCCGTGTTTCGGTTTGAGAATGACCTTTGAGTCATTAGGCCCAAACTCCATACACGACGCGCTTACTGAAAGCGCCTGTAGGTCCCCTATGCGCTTCACTGAAGCGAGAGCCATGAGAAACACTGTCTTGAACGACAGGTGTTTCATGTCCACCAGCTGGATTGGCTCGAACGGGGCGCCTTTCATGGCCTCCAAGACCGTGGAAAGGTCCCACGTCGGGACTGAAGGGGGCCTTGGAGGGTTCAGCCTCCGAGCTCCCCTAAGGAAACGCACGACTAAGTCGTTTTTCCCAAGCGACTGGCCAGACACCGGTTTTGCAAACGTTGCTATGGCCGCCACATATACTTTGAGCGTGGATGGGGTCCTGCCCTTATCCAGTAGCTCTTGAAGGAAGGAAAGCACTTCCGCAACCCCGCACTCCACAGGTGAAAGGCTCTGGGCCTGACACCATGTAGAGAAAACAGACCATTTCGAGGAGTAGAGCCGCCTGGTAGACGGAGCTCTAGCCTGCTCGATCGTGTTTAACACTCCCTCTGGGAGGCTAGCGGGTACCCGTTGATGGCCCATGCGTGCAGGGACCATAACTCCGGGCGAGGGTGCCAGATTGAGCCCTCCGCCTGAGAGAGGAGGTCTCTCCTCAATGGTACAGGCCATGGGGCAGTGCTGGTCAGCTGCATCAGGGCAGGGAACCACGTCTGGTTCGTCCAGAGCGGGGCTACAAGCAGCACTGGGCATCCGTTTTCCCTGATTCGTTCCAACACCTGAGGCAGGAGCGAGACAGGAGGAAAAGCATACAGGGGGCAGCGGGGCCAAACATGAGCCAGCGCGTCCTTGCTTTTCGAGAAAAACTCCGGGCAATGAGCGTTTTCTTGGGACGCGAATAGGTCCACCTGAGCTCTGCCGAACGTTTTCCACAGCAGCTGGACCGTCTGCGGGTGCAGCGACCATTCCCCTGCTGGAACGTTGTTCCTGGACAGTCTGTCTGGTCCCACGTTCAGGTGACCAGGCACGTGCGCCGCTCTCAGTGAGAGCAGGTTGTGCTGAGCCCAAACCAGGAGGCGTTCCGTCAACCTGTGAAGGTTTCGTGACCTGACGCCGCCCTGGCGATTTATGTATGCCACCACCGACATGTTGTCCGACCGGACCAAGACGTGGTGGCCTGTTATCTGGGGACAAAAACGCCGTAGCGCTTTGTCGACTGCTATCATCTCCAAGCAGTTTATGTGAAGGAGCTTTTCCCGTTCTGACCACAGGCCAGCTAGCGGTCTGCCCTCGAGCAGCGCTCCCCACCCCGAGGTGGAGGCGTCCGTAGACACCACCTTCACGCTCGAAGCGGTCCCCAGACTTACACCTGACTGATACCAGTCGGTTTCTCTCCAAGGTTTCAGAGCTGAAACGCACTGAAGGTCGACCCTGAGGCGAAACAGACCCGCTGTCCATGCCCTGGGTGGAACCCGCGTCTTCAGCCACATCTGCAGTGGGCGCATGCGGAGCAGGCCCAACTGGAGTACAGAGGCTGCTGAGGCCATCAGCCCCAGCATTTTCTGAAACCTTTTGAGCGGGACTATCGCGCCGTGGCGGAAGGATTTCACGCCGCGCTGAATATTTAGCACGCGCTCTGGTGACAGGCGTGCTGTCATGGACAGCGAGTCCAACACGGTTCCCAGAAAGGAAATTTTCTGACTGGGAGACAGTGAGCTCTTCGCCCAATTGACTGTGAGGCCCAGCTTCTCGAGGTGCTCGAGCAATGCGGCCCTGTGTTCTATGAGCTCCGATCGTGATCGAGCTAGAATCAGCCAATCGTCCAAGTAATTCAGAACTCGCATGCCCTGAAGTCTCAGGGGCGCGAGCGCCGCGTCCATGCACTTCGTAAATGTACGAGGCGCTAGGGACAGGCCGAACGGCAGGACTGTGTATTGATATGCCTGGCCCTCGAAGGCGAATCTCAAAAATCGCCTGTGATGGGACGCTATTTGTATTTGGAAATAGGCGTCTTTCAGATCTATCGACATAAACCAGTCCCCGAAGCGCACCTGCGCGAGGATTTTCCTGGTCGTAAGCATTCTGAACTGGCGCTTCACAAGCACTCTGTTCAGCTGCCGCAGATCTAAAATGGGTCTGAGACCCCCATCCTTTTTCGGTACCAGAAAATATCTGCTGTATAGGCCCCCTTCGCTCTGAGCCTGAGATAAAGGTTCTATAGCCCCTTTGCTCAGTAGTTTCGCTATTTCGGCACGAAGTAGATGAGATACTTCGTTTTTCACCGTGGTTTCGACGAGCGAATTGTAGCGAATAGCCTCTCTTTATAGTGTTCAGCACCCATTCTGAAACCCCGGGAAGCTTTGACCACGCATCTGCGTGAATAGCTAGAGGCAGAATGAAATCCGGGCTCTGGCCGCGACAAAACGGCAGCTCGAGAGCCTGGGCATACTGGGAACACAACACCGTGTTTACAGCGTTCGAGGCGGGGGGCGCGCTGATCACAGCGGGCGACCTGGCCGCGCTCAGCTTTTTTATGGCAGATTGTGCAG